AAAAACTTACATAAGCATGGTACATTTGTCCAAAATAGGACATTAACATTTGTACAAGATTATTAAATAAACTTCAGACTTTGTTTGGATTTCACCAGTTTTTCCACAATTGTCCTTTTTCCATTCCCAGATCTAATCCAGTATAGCGTATTGTGTTAGTACATGGTAGTTTCAAATGTTTATAAAAAGAAGACACCTACCTAGGCTACTGTTACTCTGTGTGTGTGTGTGTGTGTGTGTGTGTGTGTGTGTGTGTGTGTGTGTGTGTGTGTGTGCATGTCTTTTATAATGAAAATAGAAGGGCTATTAATTCAACATGGAAGTTTTTCTTTCTAGCCTTTTAAAACAGACACTACTGACAAGATAGGCAGGCATTTGATTATCATAGAATATTAAATGTCATTAAGCCTTCATTTCTCAATTCTGGCTGCACATCAACTTCACCTGAGGAATGTTGGCAGAATACACATGGTCGTTCCCCATGCCAGATCTGTTGCATTGATGCAGGATCCCCAGGGAGTGAGGACCAACATCTGTGCTGGGTAGTCATGGCCAAAAAAGATTACCTTAGACATTTTCATTTCAGAAGCTAAAACAGACTTCCAATGTTATATCCCCTAATTTAAGACTTATGTGTGAGTGTGAATATATGCATGTAGTACTTCGTGGTGAATTTTAAGTATGTTTTTATAGCTTTTCCTTACAGAATATTCTTTCCCTTGCCAGTATTATCAAGCCAGTCTTGCATTGGGATTCATGCTCTCTGAGGTCCATACTTCTCTAAGCTTAGATACAATGTCCTCGGTTTACCTGAGCTTTGGAGCCACATGGCCTCAAGTTCAAGCCCTAGCTCCTGACATTTATGAACTTGAAAACGTTACATAGCCTCTTTGTAGTTTTTTCTGTTTATCGTAATCAAGGAGAATTATTATTAACATGCAAGAGGGCTTTGACCATAAACCACCCAACATGTGGATGTCTTAGGTTAGAGTATCATTTACCAAATAGAGGTAACCCTGAAAACCTAGAAAATGAGAAGATTTCTAACAATCACAAAATTTGGAATTTACAATAGGAAATCCTGTATTTGTCTTAGTTTCTTGTATAGTTAGGATTGCCTCCTACTAAGAATTCCCAGCACAGCCTCCAATTAAATAGTTCTATGATATACAGTGAGTGCAGGGGACGTCTGACTTATTTGCACTTGCAGAGCAAGGAACCCCCCAAAAACGTTCAAGTTGTGAAAGTACATGTCAGAAGTAGAATTTTATCAGTATTCTCCATGCAGTACTCATGGTTTTATAGATGCTTTGCAGCTGTGGAGCTATAAACACCCAACAGCAGACACTTCATTTTATATCTGTTCTACAAAGTATAATTCCCTTTTGAAAATGTGTAAGGGTTTTTTTTTTTTTACTGTTACTCTGCAAAATGATAGTACATGTTATCAAATATATTATACATTTATACACTCTTGATTGTAAAGTCTATGATAAGATATATTTTCCCCAAGAAACAACTTTGAAAAATGGAAAAAAAATATATTTGTCCCAGAGGGTTACAGGTTCTAAATGAGGGGATTCTGTTATTTGGGGATAACTTGTTTTATTTGTTTTTCATATGTTATTGGGTTTTTCCTAAAAATCTTAAAAAACTTAAGAATATACATGGTAGGTTAGACAACATCCAGGTAATAGGTTGTGAAGTCCTGAAGGTGCCAAAACGTGAGACAGTTTGCCAAGCTAAGGCCCCTGGACACTCCCAACAGGACTCTCTCCAACTTTTCCTCCTCACCCAGTCCCCCCCTCTTAAAGAATGTCATGCTGGCATGTGACACCTCCTTTCCTGGTCCACTTGTCCTCTTAATAAACTACTTACAAAGAAAGTTTCCTCCAGGCAGAAATCTTTATCTGTTTTGTTCCTGGACAAATTCCACGTGTCTAGATCAGCATTTGGCACATAATAAGTGTTTGGTAAACATGCGTTGAATGAATAAATGAATGATTGACAGACATTGTCCTCCACATTGTAAATACATCATTTCATTTAATCCTTATCACATCCTTATGCTACATGATATGTACTGTTATCATCTGTATGTTACAGAGAATAATTTGGATAGATTAGGAAACTAATCTACCATGGTGGCACAGCAAGTAAATAGATGGCAGGTGACTTCAGAGCATATGTACCAAGTGTCATGGGACACTGCCTTCCTATCTGGCCTTCTGGGGACATGTGTGTTCGTACATATCAGGTTCAGGAAAATGTGGGGCACCGGGAGAATGTGGAAATAGTGATGATAGAATTTCATTCACACCATGAGAACCCCATACCTTGTTCCTGTTGGCAGATCTTTGCTTTTCGTAATCTCTTCTCCTTTCCTTTGCCATACTTGACTTTCTTGCTCCTCAGTAGCTTTCAAAAGACATTAAATAAATGATTTGCTGGGCATGGTGGCATGCATCTGTAGTCCTAGCTACCTGGGAGGCTGAGGCAGGATCACTTGACTCCAGGAACTGGAGGTTACACTGAGCCATGATTCCACCACTGCACTCCAGCCTGGGCAGCAGAGCAAGATCCTAACTCTTTTTTCTGTTTTTTTTGTTTGTTTGTTTGTTTGTTTTTGAGACAGAGTCTTACTCTGTTGCCCAGGCTAGACTGAGTGCCATGGCATCAGCCTAGGTCACAGCAATTTCAAACTCCTGGGCTCAGGCAATCCTCCTGCCTCAGCCTCCCAAGTAGGTGGGACTACAGGCATGCGTCACCATGCCCGGCTAATTTTTTCTATATATATTAGTTGGCCAATGAATTTGTTTCTATTTATAGTAGAGATGGGGTCTCGCTCTATCTCAGGCTGGTTTTGAACTCCTGACCTTGAGCAATCCGCCCTCCTCAGCCGCCCAGAGTGCTAGGATTACAGGCGTGAGCCACCACGCCCAGCCAAGATCCTAACTCTTAAAACAAAACAAAACAATGATGAAATGATTAACCATCAAAGGAGGGAATACACTTGAAATCATTACCTATTTTTATGTTCAATGTGCCAAATATAGATTTGCTTTTTTTTTTTTTTTTTTCCGTCTTTCTCCAAACACACACTCCCATGACTATAATGTTTCAGGAAAAAACAAGGTGATCCTGGGTGGGCCTCATATAAATTCTAACACTGTCAAATTCTCCCAGAAGCCTTTTATTAATTCATCATGAGTTTAAAAACCTAAACTAACACTGAGTGAAATCTAAGGGTCTGAAAGATTTATTTCACTGCGAAACCTCCTCCCTGGTGTTCTGGGGCTATGTCAACATAGGCAGGGAGGAGGGCAGAGCTGAGGGTGTTTAAGAATCACATAATGTTAGGGGTAGGGGGGACCTTAGGGATTTTTTGCCCCTAGCCCCTCATCTTACATGCCAGGAAACAGGATCCGAAGCAAACAGAACTGGACTCATCTGCCTATTATCTGAGTATTTCCAATAATAACAGACTCTTGTGGAGAAAAAAAATTAATGTGAGTGATAAAGGTTTTTTATACTTAAAGATCAGCATTCTTTATTAACTACCATTTTTCTGACATTAAAACTACTACAGAATAACTCCTGTATAAGAAGAATTTGTCCAATAAATGCCATAAAATCAATTCAATTCAATGAGCATTTATTGGGCATCTCTTTGCTTAATTTTGAATACTCTGTGTCATTTCAACTTGACTTCAAGTAGTCACAGAAATACAGAAATGTAAAAAATTAATATAACTAAACAAATTACTTTGATAGGAATTAAACATTTTTTTAAAAAGGAAAGAAAATATTAAAACAAGAGGTAAGATTAGCTCACAAAATTGTATGCTATCAAATTCTGGAAGTGGGGGGGGTGCGTCTAAATGTTCATCAAGCTTCCAAGTAAGCAAAGTAAAGAGAAGAAACCTGATTAACTCCAAGATTCATAATTGCTGTAATATACAAACAGACCAGCTGTCAAGGCGCTGTGCAGCATTCCATGATAAAAAGATCTGGGTTATGTTTCTTGTTTGGATAATGAGAGTCTACAATTTGCGGTGCACTTCGGTAAAGCAGAAGCCATAAGCTGAATGCTGTTGTCACTGATCTTACAATTTGGTTGGAAAAGACATAAACAACGAAATGTGTTATGAATGAGAATGCAGTGAGGACTCTCATAGTGGCTCCAATACTGTGAGGCCACAGAAAAAGGAAGAAATCTCAATGACAGGACTTGGAAAGTCTTCATGGAGAAGGTGATGTATCAATAGGGACCTGTATCAATAGGCTGCCTCGATTGCAAAGACAAAGGTCAGCGAAAATATGGGATGAAAGGATTGGGTGGTCCATGGAGGAAATCCACCTGCTGACAGATTGTCAAAACGTATAGTGTCTGTACTACCATGTGACAATGGCAGATTTTTTTCCTCTGTCATCTAAAATTGCCATCAGTAAAGATTGACTTGTCTGTATGATACTTAACAAAGCCACACTTAGTAACTCCCATGAGCTTTTTAAATAAAAACTAAAGTAACTTCGGCCCTTTGTGCTCATGGGTTCTTCATCTGTGGATTCAACCAACCATGGATTGAAATATTTTGGGGAAAAAATAATAATAAAAAAAAATCCCATAAAAGATAATACAAATTAAAAAAAATACAGTCTAATGCAATGTATATAGCATTTACATTATGTTAGGTATTATAAGTAATCTAGAGATGACTTGAAGTATAGGGGAGGGGCTGAGTGCAGTGGCTCATGCCTGTAATTCCAGCACTTTGGGAGGCCAAGACAAGAGGATCTCTTGAGACCTGGAGTTTGAGATTAGCCTGGGCTACATAGCAAGACCCCATCTCTACAAAAAAATTAAAAAACTAGCTGGGCATGCTGGTGCTAGCCTGTAGCATCAGCTACTTGAGAGGCTGAGACAGGAGGATCACTTGAGCCCAGGAGTTTGAGGTTGTCGTTAACTGTGATGATGCCACTGCACTCCAGCCTGGGCAATGGAGCGAGACCTTGTCTCCAAAAAAAAACAAAGTATAAGGGTAGGATATGTGTATTTTATATGCAAACACTGTATCCTTTTATATCAGGAACTTGAGCATGTGTGGATTTTGGTATCCTTGGGGGGTCCTGGAACCAGTCCTTGAAAGATACTAAGGGATGATGAGTGTACGCTAAAAATGTCTGGCCACAAAGGAAACATCAATATCCTGTCTTTGTAAGTCTGTGACCTTTTGGATGGAATCTCTGAAAAATGTGTAAATGATATTAAATAGTTTCACAACAGTGTGTGCTGATGTGTAGGAGTATAAAAGCATCCTTGGGTTTTGATACAAAAACCTTCTTATGAAACATGAAGCGAACCACCAAAAATATAAATCCCACTAGTGGGGCAGGAGGGAATACTTAGTTTTTGGAAGTGAAGTTACTTCCTTGTCCCTGAGGCAGCATATATTGTTTCAGTAATCCCTTCCTAAACGAGATCCAAGAACAGTTAATGCAGTCTCTAACAGGTTAGGCTAAATGTGTTGAAAGGATCAAGCCCATTGTGTTGTGTCTCCTGACTTTTGATTTCCTACAACTCTTGTGGATATAGTTGGAATTTTTTAAGGAAGATGGGTGTCCTAGTTTTGAGAGAGGACTGTTGAGGAAGGGAGCTGTCAGAACACGAAGAGCTTTCAGCCTGGGTAGATACAAATTAGCAAGAAGCATGAAGATTAAGTGCTAAGAGGTTGAAAAATGATAGTGTTTCAGCTCAATAGAATCTTATTGTTAAAAATATAATGTATCTGCAGATCTGAAGACTATAAAAGCATGACATGGTAGCCCCAAATTATGGAAAGAATAGAGCTTCTTAAGAAGACACTCTTCCCAGCTGTTTTACAGTGTGATGTAAAATGATGTATCCCACACAATGGTCTGCAAACCTCATTTTGTAGTTCCATTGTAAAAGATAATATGGTGTGAGTGAGGCTGAGATAGCCAAAAATTCACTGCTCTTTAGAGAAGTGTGCCATTTAATTCCACTAAAGATAAAGCAATTGGAACAAGTAACCTTTTCCCCCAGCTTAGATGGGGTTGTAGCTTTCAAAAATGAGCCTTCTCTCTTGCCAAATGCAAACAAGAAGACTGATCTTTTCTCAGAGGAACACCAGATATCAAATGCAATTAAGAATAAAAGTGAGACTCCCTTTCAATCTAGAAGACAATTAGTCCAAACTTCTTATTCTAAATGAAAGTAAAATGTAGATTTCATGGCAATTATCACCATAAGAGGTCAAGAGATACCTAAATTTCTGTTGCGCAGGATTATATCTGGGACATGTGTTGTGATGGTTTCTGGTTTACTTCTCTTTGTCTTTTATTTATGGTTAATTCGTGTAATCTCAGTTCTAGGCAGAGTTTATGTTCTAGTCTTCTAAAATGAGGCTGGTGTTCATCCTTCATTCTTATGTACCAGTTTCATAGAAAACTGTGAAGCATTTTCCCGTGGAATTTGGAGGACAGCTCAAGGTCATGGCTGACAATGATAGACAGATGCTTAACATGGTGTCTTTGATCCCTGACTCACATTGGGGGTTAGGACTCCAACACCTGAATTTGGGTTGCGAGTGGGGCAGACATAAGCATTCAGTTCATAACACTGGTTGGTGATATTTTTGTTAGGATCAGTTATTATATATCACCAGTCTCAGAAAGCAGGACGCTGAGGGAGTGGTGCTCATACAGGTGTGTTTCCATTTGTGGCAGGTGCCAGGAGACAGCCAAGAGGACATTGGAGGAGTTCTGGGCTGCTGGTGGCACCCGGCTAATAAGGAGCCATGTGAGTTCTTCATATAAATTGGCTTGTAACTCACTTGCCTCTGAGTCCCAAGGGCCATCTATAATTGATCACAATGTCAGTATGTCTTTTGGACCATGTTTCAAGGGGTATAACTCTTATCTCTAAGATCCATACCAAAATATTAGTGGTTCCCGGTAAAATAAATCAGTTTCCTTCATCCAAAGTAGAAACAACTATTTGAGACTTTTATCAAAGTATCTGGGGGAAGAGAAAAGTCGAAGGCAAATTTTTGATTGAAAGGAATCATATTTCTTCAAGTATGGAGGACTGGAGGTTTGCGTTTTGATTGACAAAATAATGAAACTGTTGATAGAGTCCAGGATTAGTTGGCTGAATCTGTGTTCTCTTCTCCATAAATTTGCCAAAGGCAGAAGACAAGATCCATAGAAGCAGAATGATGAACCGTTTGATTAAGCATGTTATCAGCCCAATTGTGGCCAAATTCCACCCTCATATATTCATGCACACATCCTTTGCTATGAGTTGCATATGTACTTCGTGGTTGTTGAGCTGATTTCGGTTTGTTTTTCTTTCTGAGTCTTCTCTGGTCCAAAAGCTCATCATTTAAAATTTTTGGAAGTAATTTAAGAAATGCTATTCCATTCCCAACCCCCTTCCCATTTTTGGAATACTTGCAGTTATTTTTTCTGGCACAAAAACCAATAAAAAGAGAACAAAAATGTCAATACCTTTGTCTTCCAAAGAGAGACATAAAGGTACTGCCTACTTGATTTGTAAACCACTATGGTTTGTTTACTCTTACTTCTTGTTATCAGAAAAGTCATTTAATATATTTTTAAAAGTGGAAGGCAGATTATTTTGGGGGGGGAGCTTAAATCACAGAAATGTTGCTGTTTAATGACAGAGACTAGTTGCTGTTGTTTGATGGTCCATATCTAATTAAAGCACCGATTGAGAGATTTAAGAATTAGGTGGTACCTTTGACTACCCCCTGCATACATTTCTTTAAAAGCAGCATCTTGAAATGTGATATAAACTGATTTTAAATTCCTAATCATTACATTTTATTCCTAAAAAATTGGCAGTCATGAGAACATTGCCTTTTAAGTAGTTTGTGATGATTTGGGAACTTGAAAAGACCTTTAAAGATTGATGTTTTTACTGTTTTACGAATACTCACGGAATTATGAATATGTTGCATTTGTTGGCTAATAACTTTAAACTTGTTTGCATTGGCATTTTTCTAATCCATGAAAAGTAATCCGTGATTTATACCCAGTCATCTCCTGTCTCTAGAACAAAGCATAATCATAGGTGATAGTTTTGTGCGTGAAAACTAAGCATCGCTCCTCCAAAACTGAGGGGTTAATGTCTTTGTGTTCTTTTTCACAATCATCCCTTAAAATTGAACACCAAATGCCTAGAATTTGTACATATGGCTGGAGAGGGGAGGTAGAAAAGAAAAGAAAAGAAAGAAAGAAAGAAGGGAGGGAGGGAGGGAGGGAGGGAGGGAAATCCGAAGCCAGAAATTGGAATAAAATAAAGATGATGATTGTTGGTGACTTTATAATCACCTTTGGTGCTTCAGGAACTAAAACGTATGTGTAAGGCCCAAGAGCACCTTGCTGAAGGCTATACTCTGTTGTCAATTTTGTGCAGTTACATTTAGTGTAGCTCACACACTTCTACATCTATTGCCTCTCTGCTCCGTGCAAAGCAATACACTTGCAATCTCCACTTCGGCTGGCTTCGTCTTCAACACAACTATGCTTTGGGCAAAAAGCTTTCATTTAAATTGAGTTTAAGGTGAGTATGCCATGAGTGGAGAGAAGATTTTCCTCTCCCTCATGGTTCTGTAGGGCACATTGGTTAGCCTGTGCGATAAATGGATTTGAGCAAAATGCTTTTGCACATGAATTGTTCTTCAATCCTACACTCGCCTGTATGATCCTTGAACCTCATTCATTATCTTTCTCCCCATTAACATTTACACCATATTCTTTGACAGGGAGAGAAAGTGCAAGATGTCCAGTGATGTAGCTGCTACGTCTTATTCTGTTCCTTTTCTCATCTTCTGCACGAGCCTTTTTTCAGCCACCTGAGCTTTCAGACGGTTTTACCATCTTCCCCGTCTTAACCCCAATTTAAACATCCACAGGAAGCCAAGCAAAACATGCCCATCTGCTCCAGATGTGTCACATCAAGTTTCCCTATTTTATTTTTTTTTTCCCCAGACAAACCCTCCAGCAAATGTATAAACAGGTTGCTTTTTAGAAGAAGTAAAGATTAATCTTTCTCTGGGAAAAAAAAAAAAAAGAATCCCATGCATTTTGAAAACTCTGGCTGTTTTCCCCTTTAAAAAAAAAAATTGCATAAACTGAAAGCATAGGTTCGTCCTCCCACGTGTCAGAAGAAGAACAGCATCTCCGAGCTTTGTTGCCAGATCCTCTGCCTGATCTGGGCTTATCCTCGGACTGAGAGGAGAACCTGTCCTGCAGCCAGGTGCTTGTCTCTGGCCCCAGTTCATTTCCAGGCAGCCTGGAAGAGAGTGTCACACGATGTCGGGCAGAGGTGGCCAGGGTGGTATCGAGTGATCAGGAGAGCTCCATTTTCTTGGGGAGCCTCCTTCCTCTCTTGGGGATTGTCTCATGGGACCACACAATCCAGTTGTTCATTTCATCAACAGTAATTTACTCCTGATGTGCTTTGTGCCAGGCACTGTTCCAGGATCCAGGCATTGAGCAATGAGCAAAATAACACACAGAGTCCTTGCTCCCGTGGACCTGGAGACAGACAGAAGAATGGGCACCAGGAGGCAGCGTGGTGGTGCAGACAGATGTCCTGGGTTAAAATAAAGCAGGGTGTCGAGTGACCTGGACAGGACGAGGTTGGGAGTGCAGAAGTGCTGTAGTTTCAGTGGTCAGGGAAGTCTCTCGAGTAGAGAGACACGAAGGCAGGGAGCTGATGGAAGGGAGAGGGTGAGTGGAAGAGCAAAAACCCCGGGACTGGATCATGCTCTATAGGGAGAGTGTCCCCAAGAACCCCAGTTAGCTACAGAAGAGTGAGGGAGGGAAGGGTAGAAGGAGACAGGTGAGATTGGAGAAGTAACTGCAGATCAGATCATGGACGACTGGGCTTCTCAAAGTCTATTGCCTGCACAAATCCCCAGGGATCCTATAAGAACATGGACCCTGATTTAGAAATGCATGGGTCTGCATTTCTACCATGTTCCCTGGTGATGCCTCCGCCACTGCGGGTCCCCAGATCATGCTTTGAGTAGCAAAGATTAAGGCTTTCTTCACCCCAGTACAAATTCTGCTTGTTTTTGTCTTTTAGTTGGCATGCAACAATTTTATGTATTTATGGGATACAGAGTGATATTTCGATACATATGTACAATATGTAATGATCAAAACAGGGTAATTAGAGTCATCACCTTGAATATTTATCATTTCTTTGTTTTTTTTTTTTTTTTTTTTGAGACAGAGTCTCTCTCTGTTGCCCAAGCTAGAGAGCTGTGGCGTCAGCCTAGCTCACATCAACCTCAAACTCCTGGGCTCAAGCAATCCTCCTGCCTCAGCCTCCCGAGTAGCTGGGACTACAGGCATGTACCACCATGCCCGGCTAATTTTTCCTATATATGTTTTTAGTTGTCGTGCTAATTTCTTTCTATTTTTAATAGAGACAGAGGTCTCGCTCTAGCTCAGGCTGGTTTCGAACTCCTGACCTTGAACTATCTGCCTGCCTCAGCTTCCCAGAGTGCTAGGATTACAGGTGTGAGTCACTGCACCTGGCCTCCTATCATTTCTTTGTGTTGTGAACATTCAAAATCCTCTCTTCTAGATTTCCGAAAATATATACTAAATTATTGTTACAACATGTTTACTCTGCTAGTGCTACAAAACACTAGAACTTGTTCTTCCCATTTAGCTGTAATTTTGTACCCATTAACCAACCTCTTACCATCGTCTCCTACCCTACACTCTTCCCAGCCTCTAATAACCTCTTTTTTTTTTTTTTTTGAGACAGAGTCTCACTTGTTGCCCAGGCTAGAGTGAGTGCCATGGCGTCAGCCTAGCTCACAGCAACCTCAAACTCCTGGGCTCAAGCAATCCTCCTGCCTCAGCCTCCCGAGTAGCTGGGACTACAGGCATGCACCACCATGCCCGGCTAATTTTTTCTATATATATTAGTTGGCCAATTAATTTCTTTCTATTTATAGTAGAGACAGAACTCCTGACCTTGAGCAATCCGCCCGTCTCGGCCTCCCAGAGAGCTAGGATGACAGGCGTGAGCCACCGCGCCCGGCCTAATAACCTCTAATAACAATTCTCCTTTCTACTTCTGTGAGCTCAGGTGTTTTTTAGCCTTCACGTAGGAGTGAGAGCATGCCTGACGTGTCTTTCTGCGCCTCACTTGTTTCGCTTAATGTGATATCCTCTGGGCTCATCCACGTTGCCTCAAATGACAAGATTCCCTCCTTTTTTATGGACAAATAATATTGCATTGTGTATGCATTCCACAGTTTCCTTATCCTTTTGTCTGTTGATGGGCAGTTAGGTGGAAGGAATTAAGCATTTACTATTAGTGAAATGGGAAGCCTTGGAGGCTTTTGAATAGACGGCAAGTGGCATTGGACTTGTTCTTATAGGGGCCACTCTGGCTGCTCTGCGGAAAACAGGGCCAGGGAGAAGGTAGGAGACCATCGGAATGGTCTAGATGAGATATTTCAGTGCTGGGAGCTGCCGGCCGGCGGGACAGCCACACCCGATGTCACTTCCAGTGACCGTTGGGGCTCAGCTCTGCTGCCAGGTGGAACGTCAAAGGCTCTTTGATGATGGTTTTGGTGAAAATCAAGTCTGAGATGCCTGATTCTGGGAACCTCATCTGCCTCCTTCCTGAATTTCATTTTCTATCCCTGATGCTTGTGTTACTATTGAATTAAATGTGAAGTCATTGCCCCCTGTCACTGTAATGTACGCACAGCATTGCAGGGGCACCGTTTTTATCTGTTTCCC